ACAAGCTCAGGAATGCACAGCAGGCCTTAACTCATTTACACCTTGTTTCCCCCTCCTCCCAGTTTGAAGAGTGAAAAAAATGCTGGCTTGTACCTCTTTTCAAGAGTTCCCCAATGCTGCTGTGTCAAATCTTTGGAAAAAAGGGGTTTTGGGGAAAAGTTTATATAAATTCTCTTTGGGTCTAGTTAACAGACACAAGAGTACTAACAGTGCAGAACTAGTCCAGACCACAAAGCTGACACTGTACACTAACTGGCATCTATTGTCTTCATCCCTCCACACTGCCTCAGGAAGGAAGGTAAGCCAAAACTGCTATAAGCCATTCCCCTGGAATCCTCATTTGTATGTGACCAGTTACATGTTTGTTTGGTTTGGGTTTGGTTATCTTTTTTCAAATTCTGGGGGAAGAAGGAAAAAAAAAATCAGTAAATGTAAACACAAAACCCCAAACCAAGTTAACTTCACAACTGCTTACCCTGCCATACAGAGTATGTAAGAGTGAATGTCCAGTCCTGTCTGCAACACAACAGCATCTGTGAGCCTGTCCTCCTTTTCCAAACTGAAGACTCTGTCCACCAAATGCACGCTGATAGATTTTTCCTTCTTCAGTTCTGCTGAACGGCATCCCGTAATTTTCCAGCTGTTGAACCCAAACACAAGCATCAGAAACTCTTGTGCATCACAGTACGATGAGTTATTTTAAGGAGATCTCCTTGGAAGCCAGCCTGTGTTATTTATAACTACAGCTGACATCAAATCCCATGAGTCTCACCTCTATCACGGCAGCTGGGGCTTGCTCAGTCATGTAGTGTATGGCATCCTGGTCACCCAGCCAGTCTGACCCTTTCACTGTGTCATAGAAATGCCACCTCCAGTTATCATCCTCCATGTTCCCCAGAGCAGCATTGATCCCTCCCTGAAAATGAAAATCCATTCTCCTGGAATTACATGACTCAAATACAGCTTTAGTAGGTTTACCACATTTCTATTAAAAATCACATACCAGATATGCACCCTGTGTACAAGAAATATAGTCAGGCCAGATTTCTGTGGCTGTGAAACTCCTCAGTTTCACAATGGCCTGTCCTGCTTTTTTCTGTAACGCAGTGAGTCACAGTTACACTATAGCTAGAGAAGCAGCACTGCATTTTGATAATGTTTAGAAATGGGGAAGAAAAAAGAGGCAGTATAATGAAATAAAAACATAAGGGGAAATAAGGGTTTTAAGAACAACTGCAAGTGATATTAAACTGCAATGTCAAAGCAAAATGAAATGTACCTGTTACTTAATATAAAGTCTGGCAGTGGTAAGTACATGGTTAAGCTCTTATGATCTTAGAGGTCTTTCACAAACTTACTGATCCTGTAATTTTGTTATATACTACCCTCTAAAAAAGTTTCAACTAAATATGTGGTATTTATAAAAAGAAGCATGGCCTTGAAACAAGATGTTCAAGTGCCCCATTCCTAGAAGTGCTCAAAGCCAGGCTGGATGAGGTCCTGAACAATCTAACCTTATGTGTGGAATCCCTGCCCATGGCAAGGCTGCTGGAACTGGGTAACCCCTAATGTCTCTTCCAACCCAAACCATTTTATGATTATTCTACATCCAAATCAGCTTTCTGACAGCAGGCATTTTTTAACCATTTATTCTGCCTCATTTCTCACCTGTGCAGCAACAGTATGAGAGCGGGTGGGGAACAGCTTGGTAACACAGGCTGTGTTAAACCCAGCTTCTGACAAACCAAAGGCTGCCCGCAGACCTGCTCCTCCTGCACCCACAACAACTGCATCAAACTCATGGTCCACTACTGGGTATTGCGTAGAAATCTGGAAAAATAAATCCCTTTGTTATGATCACAAATAGTTCAAGATAATTCAAATCAGTTTCATAAAAACACAAGCAGGATAGGTATAATGCTCTCAACAGACTTTTGCAGCAATTTGTACATCTGTTATACTCTTTTGCTTGGAAACTATCATTAAAAAAAGCCACACACTTCAGCAACTCAGTCTCCCAAAGTACTTGAACACAGCGCTCCAGTAAAAGCCTGAAAATCTCATGCCTGTCTGGCATTAAGTGCATCACTGGATCACAATACAAAAAGCACAGACATACCGAGTCAGACACCTTGGTGGAGGCATTTTTCTTTCCATAGACTGTGAAGTGCAAGTTCCGTGCGGGAGCCTGGCACGCTGCTGGCCACTACGGAAAGAAGCCAAGACAACTGTTATGGCACAAATGTTTCCACAGGCTACATTTACATTACCTCAGCTACCCTACATCTACAACAAATCTTCACTCACCACTGGTAGCACATACACAACAGTATTAATGTATTTTAAGAGCTACCTGCACTGGCTGTAATCATGACATATAATCAAAAAAGGTTTGACTGATGAGATAGCCTGCAGTTAACAGGGTGTCCCAGACAGGCCATTATTGACTTCAGCAACAGTGACCAGCCTCTCAGACCTGTTTGAGGCTGCACTGGCAGAAGAATATGTCTGCAATTAATGCTGAAGTATTCTTGCAGTTCTTTCATAATTAAGCAAAGATGAAGCTTTGTGGGAACCATGAGAAGCAATGGAAAATGACTCTCCTGTCAAGTAATCCTCAGAATTTGATTTCAGGTGGTTATAATACTGAAAATTAAAAAAGGTTGTAGGGAATGCTCCTCCAGCTGAGTGCTGATTCAAAAGTCAGAGATATTTCTCTTATTCTTTATGAAATTAGTGACCAATTTAGAACCCTTTATTAGTACATAAGCTTAGCACAAGGATGCAAGTCTTACCCTTCTGCAACGTCACTCCCTACTCCCTGACTTGCTCAAAACCAAATCAAACCAACAAACACCACACCCAAACCTACTCAGCATGCAATCTTTGATTTGATAAGATTAAAACAGAAAGTTAGTCTCCACCTCTCCAAGGTACTGGAATCTGGTATTCCTTCTTTACACAGTTCAAAAAATAAGCCTAACTCAGCATGTACGATTGCTGAGAACAGCAACACAAAGCCACATCAGGGACCTGTCCAGTGACATCAGCACTCCCCTATTTGAAATACAACCTAAAATGCACTGGAGTGGTGTCTGCAGCTGTTACATTCATGGTCCCACCACTCTACAATATGCTAACAAGCAGCTCTTCCCTCCCCAAAGGTCCACCTCTTCCTGAATCTCTCAAGTGAACTCCAGTACACTTTCTGCAACCTAGTTTTATCATTTCTCATAGCAGTTTCCTCAAATTATCTTCTTGCATAACAGCAAATCTACTGCGTCATTACATTTGCTATCTCTGGTTTCTGCAATCATCTTGGAATGAGATCGGTTCCTATCACCTTTTCTTAAGGAGTTCCACCAGTACTCTCTTCCAGCCTACTCTCTCCACGTTCCACACTGCTGGGTTACCAGGCTTTGAGCTCAAACAAGAGCCCACAAAGCAGAAAAAGATGTCACACTAAGTCTGAAGGAAACACAGACTGCAGCAATCCTGAATTTTTATGCCACCAGAAAGATCATGGCCCTTTTGAAACTAAAGGTTCAATCAGGGCCAGCTCACTGTCATCTAAAATAGGGAGGCACTGTTTAAACATCTCCCTCCCTCTGCAGTTGTCTTTTCTGCACTTGCTTTGTACACAAGTATAACTACAGCCCACTTTGCAATCCCAAGCTCATCACGGGCATGCAGGATGAGAACAGTGGGAAGAAACTGAAGACTCTCACCTCACCATGGAGAAGAACAAGCCTTCATGCCCAACTTACAGCCCCCTAACACAAACCTGCCAGACTCCTCAGCAGCCCTTTCTGGGCACAATCACCACTGGCTTCCCACACACGTCCAGAATCAGGGAATGCAATAGGCTGGAAAAGGCCTCTGAGACCATCGAGTCCAATCAAAGACCAAACACCACCGTGTCAACCAGACCAGGGCACCAAGTGTCACATCCATCCTTTCCTTAAACACTTTCAGGAGCGGTAACTCCACCACCTTCCTGAGCAGCCCATTCCAATGTCTAGTCACCCTTGCTGCGAAAAAATTCTTCCTGATGTCCAACCTGAAGGTCCCCTGGTGCAGCTTGGCCATTTCCTCCATTCCTGTCACCTCTCCTCAGGCACTCTGGAGAGTGATGAACTCCCCACTAAACTCCCTTCTTCCAGGCTTAACACCCCCGGCTCTCTCAGCTGCTCCTCACAGCACTCCTGCTCAGAACCTTCACCAGCTCTGTCACCCTTCTCCGGACTCGTTCCAGCACCTCAAAGTCCTTCCTGAGCTGAGAAGCCCAGAACCGAACGGAGCACTCGAGGTGTGGCCGCAGCAGGCCGAGAACAGGAGCGCCATCGCTCCCCTGCTCTTCCTGTGCGCATTTTGCTGATACAGATGAAGTCTGCGGCGAGCTTTCCACGCCGGTGCTCGGGCCGCACCTGCCAGGCTCCTCCAGGGCCCTTCCCCAGCACCTCCCATTCCCGCTGCCTCCCTCAAAACCCCGCTCGGGGCCTCAGGCTACGGCGCTCGCTTCCCGAGCCGGGAGGCGCGGCCCAGCCGTGCCCACAGCCACCCACTCGCAGGAGCCTGCCCCCGGGACACGAGTGGCGCGGTCGGTGCCGCTGCAAAACAGCGCCGGAGGAAGGGAACCTGCCGGGCCTGGGAGGATCACCGGGCGCGTCAAGGTCACGGAGGCGACGGCGGAGCCGGGCCGCCGCCGGCGGGAAAGCGGGGCAGGAAGAAGGGCAAGCACAGGAACAAGGACATGGACAAAGGCAGGAGCAAGGATGGGAAAAGGGCAGGGACAGGGACTCACCGCCCGGGAAGCCGCGGTCGGGCGCAGCCAGCGCTTCGCCAGCCCTCTCGCAGCCGCCGCCGCCGCCATCACGCACCGCGGACTCGGGGGGGGGCGGCGGGGAGCGGGCGTGAAGGGCGCACGCGCGGGGCTCGGCGGGACAGACCAACAGTGCCGAGAGGGGGAGCGCCCAGAGCGATCCCACCCCACGCAAGAGCTGCGTGGTGGAAGATTTCTAAACAGCTCCTGTTTCGAGCGTAAAGAACATTTTAAAAAAATCAAAACCTAGAAGTGTGTTACTGCCGTTATTTTTCACTGGTGATCTTCAGTCTCTTTCTCTCTCTGACAGCGCCTCAAAGTTTGCATAACAAACAGGTCAGAATCATGTTTTGAAGTTATGGGAAAGACCACTTCGTAGACATGAGATTCGGAGAGAAGGCTGAAGGAAAGACCGCAGTGTCTCTCTAGGACAGAAAGCAGGCTCGGCAGCTCCAGGCGGCGGAATTCAGACGCGGCTGGCGGCCGCCTCCGGCCCCCGGCGTCAATGGCATGAACAGGGGCGGGCGCGGACCTGCGGCGGCGCTCCGGGCTCGGCCAGCCCTTTTGTTGTCCACCCCCTTTTCCCCCCGGCGGATGGGCCGCGCCGGGAGGGGGCGGGGCCGGCAGGTGAGTGGCAGCGTCAGGGGCTCGCGCGCTCCCGGGCTCGTGCGCGGGGGTCCCGCCGTGGGGGGAGCGGGACCGGGAACAGGAACGGGAACAGGAACAGGAACGGGTCTGGGTCTGGGTCTAACAGGCCGTGTCGTGGCCGGGGCTGCCACTCAGGGCGCGGCCAAGCTCCCCAGTGCCGGGGCCGCCGTTCGAGGGGCTCGGGCGGAATTCCCGGTCGCCCGGCGGGAGCGGCCCCGGCCCCTCCGCGCGCTGCTGAGGCCGCGTCTTCCCTCTGTGCATCGCAGGTGCCTTCATGAATAACTTAAATGACCCTCCCAACTGGAACATCCTGCCCAATGGGCGCGGTCCCGGCGATGACGGCAGCCGCTGGAATTACGCCCTGCTGGTCCCCATGCTGGGCCTGGCCGCCTTCCGTGAGTAGCGCCGGGCCCCGGCCCCTGGAGCGGGGCGGTGACAGAGCCGTGCCCGCCTGGGACTTCCCCGGGCCGCCGTTTGTACACAACCAGCGCTCCCGCTGTCGCTCAGGCACAGACCGCTTCTCACACACGGAGACGAATCCATATTTAATAAGCTCTAATATACAGAGCTCTCCCAAGAAAAATAGACGCAGGATGTGCTGGAGAGCCCAGAGATGTGTTTATTGCCCAGAGATGTTGCTGATGTATTTATTTACTGGGCCTAGAAAGTTCTCCGTGCAGTATCCACATTGGAACCCTCCAGTTTGTTTCTCCATGACTTTATTTTCCTTCTCTAATCTAAGTAGTGGTAGCATAGGCTAGCACTACTTAGATTAGTGCTAAGTGCAATAAAAGAATGGGGGTATTTTATTTCAGAGAAAGCATGATCATTTAAAGTGACTCACTGTAAAATAGGGATTACAGAAATACATTTTGTGGGCATGCATAAATAGAAGTGAAGGGCAGGAAAGAAAGATTTTTGCCACTTAGTAGCTTCATTTCAGGCATAGCTAATTAATCATACCCCTCACTGTTACGTGTTACACTTGCATCTGAAGTCTCATTTATGTGTGATAGGTTGGATCTGGACCAGAGAGTGTCAGAAAGAAATAGAAAAAGAAAAACAAGAGTACTACAGAAAAGAGTCGACCTTGCAGAAAGACCTGGAAGGCAAATACCGGGATATAATCACGGAGAACCGTCGTGCTGTTGCTCACCTGGAGGTGGAGCTGGAAAAGGAGCGCAACAGGACCCTGAGTTACCGCGAAGCCCTCGTGTCCCAGAGCCGCAAACTAGTAGAAGAGAGGAAGCTCCTGGAACAGGAGCAGGAGAAGCTGGAGCGAGAAAAACAGGTCCTTTTGCACTCTGGAGCAGAAGGTTCCTTGTACCAGAGTTGCCTGGCAAAGGAAGAAGAGTGGCAACAGAAAGCCAAAGAATTACTAAAAGAATTTGAAGAGGGACTGAAGGAAAGACAGGACATTTACTGCAGTCTTGTAGTACCCAGAAGTCAGAGACTAGAAATAGAGAAAAATCTGCTAGTTAAAGCAGCAACTAATCCTGTTGCTGTGACTTTACATGTGGAGAGTGGCTTAAAAGATATTTTCAAGCATGATAACTACTGTGGCAATGTGCTGAACAGAACCAGAAGCCAAAATGGAAGGCTTATGTGGCTGTATCTGAGATACTGGGAACTAGCTGTTGAACTGCAGAAATTCAAGAGGGTAGAACAGGCCATGCTGGGAAAACGCTAAGTAGGGGAGGCAGTGGGATTCCGTGTGATCCTCCATGCATGGTAGGGACAATCACAGTTGTAGTCTGAAGCTGTTAAATTCTTCTGCTGTGTTGCCGTCTCTCCTCCTCCTTGCACTTGTGTTTGCATGGGACGTGTGCAGTGCTGGTGCCTTTCCTCTCACTAACAGCAGATGCTCTGGTGAGCTGTGCATGCTCCTGAGCCCCACGAGTGTGTTTGTGTGGCAGTGTAGAGATACTCCGACTCCCCAGGTATCAGAAGCAGCAAAACAGAACTCAGTTTAGAGGGATTTGCCTCACTGATGGTCACACTCCAGCAACAGAGAATGGTCATTTATCTCCCCCAGGTGTGGTAGCACATTGTTGTCCTTATCCCTGACATTTTACGTGGTGTCTAAACAATGTCTTTCTTTTATTACTATTTTTTAAAAGTTTGTTTAAGCAAGACTGATTTTGAGGCAGATATTTGAGAGAGGTGGTGTTGGAGCCAGCTGCTTGACACATGAATCTTACGTGTCTGATGAATCTTATGTGTCTGTGTGTACAAATATATAAATATATATGTATGTGTGTGAATGTATGTGTGTAAGTGTATGTGAAAGTATTCTGAGGGTGGAATAGACTGGTCCTCTTTCAGATTAGTCAGTCTTGCACTGTCTTCCAGCTTAATATACAAATACTGCTTTATGAATGAAACATCCAAAAGATGCTAATTCAAATAATACATAAAGAAACAGATTGATGTCTCATTGGCACTTGGGATCCATTACCAAATTCTAGGGAATGTATAAACTGGAAGTTATATTTTCATATATTGGAGATACCCTAAGAATACTTCTTTTTTTCTCAGCAAGGTTTTAGTTACAACCCAACAATGTGCCACCATTATGGATGTCCCCATGCTGCTGCTTCTGCCTCTCAGGGCGCTGGCTGCCTCCTGGGTTTCTTGCAGGAGCCTCCTTGCCATTGCAGCTGGCTCTGCTCCTTGGACAGGCGCTGTTTGTTATTTGCAGGTGGGAACACAGCTGCAGCCTGCACTAGTAGCCACTGCTCTCTTTCCACCTGTCTCCCTTCTCCCAGAACTGAAGTACATACTCTCTTCTGCAGCTCTGAAATTTTGTGCTTGTGGTTCACCACTTTACATACACATGACCGTGAAAGCCTACAGATATACGAGCTTTGCAAACTTTTAATAGAGGGGGCTTTTTAATTTAGCTAGTAAAATAAAATAGATTTGGTAAAAAATAATAAGTACAGTGAAATATTAAATAAAAAACATCCAGATTAAAAAAATCCAACTACAAACAAAATTTTTAAGTGCATTTCAATTTCTTACAACTTTGAGTATACTTTGGGTCCTTTTTAGCTGTAGGAACCACCTTTCTTCAAACGTGCCATGTATTTAAAATAGGAGTAAGTAAGAACTTTTTTCTTCCCCCTTTCTAATCCAGCCTTAGACCTCAAAGGGGCAGTGTTTACCCTTGTGTTTATAGCATCTAGTCTTCTCTGTTACTTGACTTTGATTAGTGCTGGTAGGTTGTAATTTCATTAATTAGCAGTTTATTATTTACTGAGGGCTAGACTTGACAAATGTGTTTGCACTAGGCAGTCATGTAGAACCATGGCTTGGAAGCAATCCAAGCTAAGTGAATGCCCATCTTCCTGCAGATGTGGGGTTTTTCTCTTACTGTTTCCTCCTGGTTTCACTTCAGTCTGAGCACAGAAGACAGCAGATAAATCCTTTGGAACGATGTGCACAACTTAATCCAGTTACTAAGTAGAAATACCTAACATGAAACAAAATTCCTGAACAGAATAGATGTTTCCCAGCTACTCTGTTTTCCAGTTGAGATTTTGCTCACCTTGGTAGTACCAATTATACTGTTGTGTTGAGTTATTAATCCTTTTTTCATACTGATGTTTTTAATAAAGTTTTAGTAGACAAACTTGGAGGAAAAAAGAGAGATCACAAACACCATAAAGGCCACAGTTTGTCAGGGTGCCAACCATATTTGGGGTGGGAGATGAAAACACAGTTGAGTTGCTAATCGTGTGTGACACCCTGAGCCAAGCTGCTGCAGCTGGACGTAGGCACACGGTCTAATGGCCCAGAGAACAAATCAGCTTGAATAACAGCCTGTGTATAATTCCTTCAGAATGTGGAAAGTGACCATCCAGCTGTGGCACACTTGACACGTTCCTGCAGGCAGTTAAGCTGCCCAGCTGGCTGTAAGAGCAGACAGTGAATCAGTGCCAGTGTATTTGAGATTCATGCCTTGAATTTGTGCAAGTTAGCCTTAAAAGATCAGAGGTTTTATGCTTTGTCATTTTTTCATTGTTTGTTATTCATATCACTCAAAGTGTTTAAAGAAAATGTAATCAAGGGTAAAATACTATTTTTTCAGTATGAATATGTATATTCAAGCCTTACACACTTGAATGTACAGGGTTGAATGCAATGTAGTAAAGGTTTGGTATTCACTTTCTCTTTTTTAGAAGTATCATTTATTTGTACAGCTAATTGAACTATTGTTCTTGAACTTTGAAGATCATTGTCTCAAGACAGAAGGGTTATTTCAGAAGGCTTTTAAGAAGTGTATAACTGATTTGGCATCACTGGTCCTGTTAGTTTCTTCCAAAACTCATGTTTGTGGGTATGCAATGTATTTTTGAAACGTTCCCCCTTTGTAGTTTGTTATTCTGAAAATTCTAATGTAAGTTTCATCTTGCCCAGCACTTGTTCTGAGTTGGTTAATTGTCTGGAACTGCCCATATACATATGTAGAATGCAAGAATAATTTGTTTTCAAAGTATTTAATGAACTTCTTTTTATTATAAAATTGTCACTCAGCTATTAAACAATAACAGTTAATAAAAACCTTTACATATTTCTGCACTGTTTCGTAACTTGGGCAAGGTGGGTCAGGGAACTGGAATTTGCTACTATATTCAGACTTTCCAAATTGTAAATTTTTTTTAATTGGCATATAAAAAGTTTTGGTCTTGGTGCTGAGAAAACAGTATGTTACCAAGTCTTTTTTTCTTAGGAAAGAACACTGTTAGGAAAAAAAACACTGTTAAACAGGTAAGTGTGGAACATTAACTAAAGATGTGGGGTTAAAGGTGACCATCCCTTGGAAAGACTGCGGACCTTGCTTCAGCAGAATGTTGTGCAGGATATTCTGCTTTCCTCCAGAAACCCTCAGATGTGTCATTCTGCATGTCAGCTGCTTTTCATTTCCCTCATCTTCCTGCTCTCAGGAAGAACTGCAATCCAGCTGCTCTAAGACAGCATTCAGACACTCTGGAAATCCGTGTTCTTGTAATAAAGGACCCTCAATCTGTATTTGACACAGTCCTTCACCATCCTCTGGCTCTATAAATCTTGGGTTTGAGCACTCCTGTGTGAGGATGAGAAAACTCACTGTTCCTCTGTGGAGGATACAAGGAAGAAACAATGGTCAAGGGTTACTGCAGTGAAATCAAAGGAATTTGAGCTCTTGCTGTGAAAAGAGGATGAAAGGCAAGGTTACAGTTGCAGTTGTGGTGCAGCTGGATATGGAGGCTTTGCTGGTTTGCATGCCAAGGGCCACATTTAGTGGTCATTAATTTACTGCCTGGTCCAGAGCTTTCCCTGGTCACTGCCTGTCTGAGACAGCAGATGGACCTGCTAAGAAGTAACTCTGAAATTTAGCGTAGCTCAGCACTGAGGTGAGGTGATGGCCACTTCACAGCAAAACAGCTGAGTGATTGCTGCAACAAAAACTGAAAGTAAACTGAAAGTAAATGTGCTTCTGGAAACAAGGAGTCTGTGGATGGAAGAGTTTGAGGAGAGCTGGTGGATTGTAAGAACAGCGGTGGCAGCTGTTCACAGTTATGCACCCCACCATGCACCCCTGGGATCACCCAGGCTGTCCAGCTGCTGGAAAAATGCCTCCTCACTCTTGTGTTCATAGCAGGTTTATATTTCTGAGATACCTCGCCTCTAAACTTCTCTCAGAACAAAATGCTCGGCTGCTGTGGTTGGTGTTTGTGTGACTGGAGGCTGCTCCCCCCTTGTGGCTGATGGCTCTTCCAGCCGCAGCCGCATCCTCTGCTCCCATGAGCTCCGCTGGAGCCCATCTCCCAGTGCCACACCGTCAGAGCTCTCTGGCCCAAACACCTGCGGGGGTAATAACAAGAAAGGTGAGCAAAACCGCGGTGTTCGGTGACCAGACCAGAATGAACTTGTCTCCGCTGAGGTGGTGCTGCGGCAGATCTCTGTGCAAAGGCGGCAGGCACAGCGGGTTGGGTGTAGTTCAGCAACCTTTTAGCACCTCGTCGTATATTGCAGCACTGGAAAAGAAAACCGTGACAAACTCGATTGAAGAACACTGTTCATTGTTTAATGAAGATGGCAAGAGGCAATCTGCAACTGTCAACATCTTCTGCTGCCTGCTGGAGGAGAGACGCTTGTGGTGTGACAGATCCCAAGCAATAGCACTTCACTAAGAAATTCAGGGGGACACTGGGGACACTACAGAATGGTTTGGGTTGGAAGCAACCTTCAAAACTTATCTAGTCCAACTCACCTGCAGTGAGCAAGGACATCTCCAAACAGACGGGATTGCTCAGAGCCCCATCCAACCTGACCTTGAATGTTTCCAGGGATGAAACACTTACCACCTCTCTGGGCAACCTATGCCAGTGTTTCAAAACCCTTGTTGTAAAAGAATTCTAACTTATGTCTAGTCTAAACCAACTCTCTTTTAGTTTAACATCATTATCCCTTGACCTGTTACAACAGGCTATGCTAAAAATTTATTCCTATTCATAATAAGCCCCCTTGAAGTACTGAAAGGCTAGAGTAAGGTCTCCCCAAATCTTTTCTTCTCCAGGCTGAACAAGCCCAGTTTTCTCAGCCTGTCTTCATAGAAGCAGCATTCCAGCCCTCTGATCATGAGATCAATTTGGTGCTGTCCACAGAGGCATTTCTACCCCTATGCTCCTTACTTGTATTAAGTAAGTTATTCCAAAGGTGAGATGTGTCCAAAGATGGAAAAAATATTTTGGTTCAATGTATATAGTGAAATATTAAAGATAGCACATCTATTTTCCTGATGTCAAAAAGAAGAACAAAACAACAAAGCATGCTGCTGCTGCAGCTCATATTGCTTCAGTTAAATGTTTATATATAAACTGAAGTAAATATTAAGCAAACTACCAGTATAGACAAACATAAAGATTGTGCCTCTTTCTGGGAGATGAAAAGGAGAAAGAGGCCATGTGGGCATCAGCGTCAGCTCAGCTCTGGATGCACTACACAAGACCTGCTGTTCACAGCTTGTTCCCTTTTATTTTTCTGTGGCTAGGGACACTGCCACTTCCACAATAAACATAAACTGAAAGTTTCTCGACATGTCAGATTGCTGAAGGAAACTTCTTGACACCATAAAACTACTCCAGAATGGGATGCATGTGGAAGTCATTGTGTGTGACATCCTACTTCTGCTGTGTTCCCAGTAGTCTTGGAAAGAGTTCCAACAACAGCTCAATGCTGTCTTATTTCTCCCTTGCTGTGATACTTGTTGACACAAGTTGGAACTTCTCTCCAATCTGCAGAAGTTTACAATCTCATGGGAAGAAATTTAGGCTCCAAAGTTTATTGGGCATCTCCAAAGTCTTTAGGTATCCCTGCTTGAACTGCTGTGGACTGGTAGCAGCAGCTTTCAAGCACTCACATAGGAAATCCAATCATGCCAGCTGAGGAGCTGTGAGAGCTGTGCCTTTTGGTTACTTATCAGGTAGAGTTTGAGAACAACGGAGCATAAAACTTAGATCCAGTTAAAGATCTACAGATCATTTATTGGCAAGGTAAACTGCATGACCACCTGCGATTGTTTATTACCCTTGAAACTAAGCAACTCTGAAATATCTTGCCTGTGTATCTCCCTTTCCAAGATAGTCATTATCATTCCCTAGGCTGGAGATTTTGGGTTTGCTCTTGAGCCTTGGGACCCCTTTTTTGCACATCTGGTCAAGGATGTTATCCATTGGCAGCTTGTAAAAGGATTTCTTGTTTTCACCGCCTATCTTAAAGGATTGGCTGTCACAGACACTATTTTATTTAACTTCTCCTTCTCCTTCTCCTTCTCCTTCTCCTTCTCCTTCTCCTTCTCCACCATCTTTACATTTCCATCTTTTCCTGATTTAGGCTTATTACACAAGCAAGAGTAATTGTATTGCTGTATATGATGCTTTGACTACTAAGTAGAAGCTGACTGGAAAGAAAATGGGATTAAGGCTGGTAAGATATTGCTATAGAATTAAGAGCAAGAGATTTCACTCCAGCAGCTACTGCAGTACTGAAAGGGTCAGAAAATAATGTAGTTAATCCTAATAGCCTGGTATATTGCAAGGAATGATGAAAATACCTGGAGAGTTACAGATTTGTCCTGTCATACCAGGCATGACAGAATCACAATGAAAGGATCATATTGCATTTATAATAATAATTATAATTATATAGTATATAATATATTATAATTATATAATTAATATAATATATTAATATAATATATTATATTAATAGCCTGGTATATTGCAAGGAATGATGAAAATACCTGGAGAGTTACAGATTTGTCCTGTCATACCAGGCATGACAGAATCACAATGAAAGGATCATATTGCATTTCATGCCTGAAACTGTTGATTGCAACCTGAAACCTAGTTGTAAACAATGTGTATTGCCAGTGGCCTCTGCTTTTCTCAGCGGCTTTACATGAAAGGAATTGTTTTTTCAAAAGAATTGTTCTGTCCTTCTTCTTTCTATTTGTCCTCCCATTCACAGGATCCAGATTAAAAAACTTCCCCCAAGGCAGTCTCCTCCTCCTGATGGAGGGCAGAAAAATCATAGAACCATAGAATATCTTGAATTGGAAGAAACACAGAATCAGTTCCAATTCCCTGCTCCTCACAGGAGCATAGCTGCACATAGCTTTATGTAGTTGTAAAAGATTTCATTTTGCTTTTAAATTATCTCAAATGTTTTATTGTGACAATAAATAGGAACAATTAATACACTATTATGAAATTCTGCAGAACAAGTTGATCTGAAAGCTGTTGCACAAGGAATCTGCTGAATCTTTTAGGGCCCAAGGCTTTAAACTTCAGGTTTTAGCACTGTATTCCAGTCTTTTGCTTAATTGATTTTTGCTGCTAAGTCTGGTGATCCACGTTTATCAGGATTTTCTGATAATTCTGTCAGCTGTTCTGATTTTGTCCTTGTCAGCAGATGGATTTACACCTAAAAGAAGAGAATCTGCTTGAGCACTTGTTTTCTGTTCAAATCCTTCTTTACAGTATGATGAAATGCTACAATTTCAAGGTGGAAACTGTACACAGGACAGTTGCCACACCAAGTCCAGTTGGTGCCATAGTTCTGGTCAGCCCTCGTCTGGCTTGGCTCAGCTCTGCCAGCACCTGCAGGGTCCCTGGCATCCTTGGCACCGTGTCCTGGAGGCAGCTGTGGCTCCTTCCATGGTGGAGGAGACGAGGCTCAAGCACTGCAGACAACATTTCAGCCAGGTCCTTCATTCTGCCCCGCCACTCTCTCAAGGAAGAGAAGAACCCATCCTTATAGTCATGGAATCGTAGAATCACTGAAGTTGGAAAAGTCCTCTATGATCATCAAATCCAATTGTTTTCCCAAACGGGTATGGTTGTGTTCGAGGGTCCCAGGATGAGGGAAGAGACAAGAATCTTGACTCCATGTTTCAGAAGGCTGATTTATTATATTATGATACTATATTATATTAAAATGCTATATTAAAAGAATAGAGAAAATTATACAGACAGAAAGTTAGAAGGAATACAAAGGAATGAATAACAAAATCTTGTGACTGCTTACAGCC